CAAAATATCATTTCTAATATTTAAAGAATATATTTATTGCATGCTTTCAAGATTTTTCATAGTGCATAATTTTATTTTGAACAAAGTTAATAAATATATAATCACAGTAATCGCTATATAATCACAGCGATCACTACACTAATATGTAATCCATAATTTTACTTTTGATCAAAGTTAATAAATATATAATCACAGTAATCGCTAGAGGACGGCCATATTTGACTGAAATCTGTATGTTAATTCAATTTCATTCTCAATCTGTATGTTAATCCGTTCTCAATCTGTATGTTAATCCATTCTCAATCTGTATGTTAATCCATTCTCAATCTGTATGTTAATCCATTCTCAATCTGTATGTTAATCCAATTTCATTCTCCTCAAGAAACCATATTGTCTTCGATCGTTCAAAAACGTGAGGCAATTATGGATTACGAAATTATACCCGTCAATAAAAACGGAAAAGACAACGACAACAACAACAACAACAGCAATGAAAACACCGACAAGCCAATTAGCACGCGTTTCTGCACCAGAAACTGATATAGCAATGGGTTTTACAGTAGGATTATTCAACTATTATCGATTATCCGAACTATTAATTCGTTATTAAGAATAAAAAACCATTAGAATCAATTCATCTAAGCAAAATATTATCACTGAGATTTTCTCTTAAATTAAATCATTCATGCAAATGAAATGAATAATGAAATTAATACATATTTTCCTACTGATACTGATACAATAACGACAACAGCAATAACAACAATTTCTGTTACTACTACAATAAGTACTACTGGTAATACCGATATTAAAACATTTTCAAATGTGAGCGATCTAACACTAAGGAGTAAACGAACGGCAAGATATTTAAATGAAATTTTTAAAAAATTATAATTTGTTAGATTTAAAAAAGTAATTATATAAAAGATTTCAACTATTAATAAACATTTTTTTAAATTTATTTTCACTTAATATTATTTTATGGTACATAGTATTTAACACTTTTGAATATGTCTAAAATTCTTTTCGGTTGCTTTCAAATGAATTCCTTCTAATTAAAAATTTTAACCAACAGGATTTTTTTCTTTTAAATCATTTAATAGCAATTAACTGCTCTGAGATTTTTTTATTATTACTATTACTCACTCTCATGTTTGCAACTTAGTTTGTTTTATTGTTTTATTTTAATATTTGTAATTTGATTTTACTTAAATCAAATCATTTCATTATTTCACTCAACAATTATCAATACTAATAACACTATTCATTAATGTTAGGTGAATTTATAATTTTGGAGGAAAAAAATTTAATTTAAAATTAAACCATTTTTGTTAAATGTTGAGGCAAAGAAAATGCGATATGAACCAATTGAAGCAGATTGTAATTGTATTGGTAAATCTGATATGGAATGTTTTCGATTCGAATCGATCCCACCATCTGATTATGCCAGATGTATTTGTACATATGATACTGATTTGGACGTTGCTTGGCCATGTTTCAATATATCGTTAGTAACTTCTTTTTGAATTAATTAAAATATATAAATTATTTACAATTAGCATTATAATAATTATTCTGCCATATTATACGTGTCTAAATTGTGTTTAAGCGATTGAATACATTTTGTCAATCAATGGTTACTTCATACCCTTTGGCTTATGGGTATTTATAATTCGTTTATTTTATTTTCTTTTTTTCTTTCATTTCATTTCCAGTTCACTAAATTGATTACATTTTATAAAAATAAACTATTACCTGACGAAATTCTAAATAAAAGTTTGATAATTTAATTTCGATTAACAAGCAGAAAAAAAGTATTATTTATAGAAAAGGAAAAAGAAACAAAACTTAATTGGCTAATACAAAAGTTAATCGAATTTTTTTCAAGCAAAGTGCAGTTAACAATAGCATTTCTTCGTCTTTTTGAATTAATTAAAACTCACCTGTAAGGTTTTAAACTTGAATTCATTGAAAATAACTTCAGAATTTCAGTTAAAAACTGCACCCTTCATATCTATCGAAATTCAACTTTTTCTTAATGACTACTTAACAAATATCTTACTATCTGACCTTCTAGCATGAAACAGCTCTTAAAACGCCATGAAGTGATTTACGCTATTAACTACGAAAATTTTACTTCAACATAAATTTTACATAAACGAATCAAAAGCACATAAATATAGATTATTTAATCAAGTGACGCAAAAAATATTACCTTTCATCCTTTTTTCAACAACTTGATCCCTTAATTTGCAGTAAACTTTCAACTTCTCAGCTTTTTCCTTTTCTTTCTTTATCCTTTGCTCTTCTGTTGTTGCTACTTTTTTCACGAAATGCATTTTTCCTTTTGATCTGAAATTAAATTGCAAAATAAAAGTATNCCTTAATTTGCAGTAAACTTTCAACTTCTCAGCTTTTTCCTTTTCTTTCTTTATCCTTTGCTCTTCTGTTGTTGCTACTTTTTTCACGAAATGCATTTTTCCTTTTGATCTGAAATTAAATTGCAAAATAAAAGTATTGCATATATAACTAAGACAAATAAAGTAAATAAACTTAGTAATGTTTGCTTCAAAAAAATATAAAATTCAGATATTTTTAACATTCGCCAAATTCATGAAAGAATTCTATTTCAAACATTTCAATCTTCCAATTAATTTCAGAGGTTTTTTTTTAATTCGCCAGAAATTATCTTTAGAAAATTTGTCATGCTTCAGAATCTCAAAATGCATTTTAACTTCAACAAATTTGAAATATTTCCTCAGCCAAATATTTCCAAATCTCTAACTTTATATTGCAACAGCTATTTCAATTCTTTGCTCCTCTGCTATTTTGTAATTTAAATAATTATTTCATTTCATGATTTTTTGCAAAATCACTCAATCCCATCAGCACATACTACTTTTCATTACGCAGCAATTCCACCGTTCCCATAACCATCTCATCACTCCTCCGCTGACACATCCCACATCCAGTCCCAACCATCTCTTCCAAAGCATCTCAGCCATCAGTCTAGCATATTCCAATCTATTCACTCTTTTCAATTGGTTTAGTCCAGTCTCGCTGTGAAATTCAATGCAAATGTGGACTACAATATATGATATGAAAAATTTGTCCCTATATCACTAAACTGTCAGCAAGTGGGAAAGAATTGTCTCCATTTCGCTTGTTTTCGCTTATGATAATATTGCACTCAGAAGTAATCCTTAATGATTGTATGAACAAAGAAATCATATTTTTGTATTGTCGATAATAAATTTAAAAATTTTAGCATAAATACTTTAATTGATAATTCAGAAGAATTTCCTTTCCCATTCAATTTAATTTAACTATCCCATTGATATCAATCGATAATTGACTGTAAGCAANCATATTTTTGTATTGTCGATAATAAATTTAAAAATTTTAGCATAAATACTTTAATTGATAATTCAGAAGAATTTCCTTTCCCATTCAATTTAATTTAACTATCCCATTGATATCAATCGATAATTGAACAAATTTTTTTTCTAGAAAAATCTGCAAATTTTTTTTATGCTGAAATTTTTGCAAAGTCTATTAACTTAGAATTGGAATTCATTTGCATAATTTTCCTGTTATCATTTATCGTTAAGGAAATAATGATAAGCAATTGTTACAGCTTATATCTTTTATGATAACGCACTTATCAGTCTAAATTCGATTCTTTTCAAACCATTCTATTAATTTATTTTATCACTTTTGGAAAAGAAAAATTTGTAAATTTTTTTTAACTAACAAAGTGAAATATTTTTATCAAATCATAATTTTTTGCGAAGGCATTTATTATAATATATCGTATCTTATCAGAAAAACAACGAATATCGTGATAAACTATGCGATAAATATATCATTGTAATTATAAATACATCATTAACTATATCATTAATATACAAATATATCATTATCATTAACCATAAATATATTATTCATTAAATATATCATTAACTATAAATATATCGTTAATCTATAATTACTGAATTTACGACAGCTATTTGAAAAAAAAAAACAATAGTACTTTCATTCTTTTTCATCGATAATTTTACATTTTTCATTTTTGTCAAATTAAATTTTTTGCGGTAATTTCTTAATTTTGCAATCTTTTCAAATAAATTTTCAGCTTTATTGTTTAGTAAATTAATTTTTTAATTAATTTAAATTATTTCATATGTGTGTTAAATTTTGAAAAATTTTAACAAAATGCTGAAAAATAATTTGTATGAAAAAAAAAAAAGAGAGAGAAAACTTATATTTTAGCTTTCCTGTCTGTTATAAATGATTGACAGGAATGAAATATTGCAACTTCGATATTATAACAAATATGAAAACAAACTAATCAATTAAATGATCCATCATCTGTCTTTTTTTCACTTCACCTCTCTTTTCATAATTATCTGCAAATAATTTACTATAGACAACTGTTTGAAAATTTGTTTATTTTCATCGTCACCTGCAAATTTGATTGAAGTGAAAAGTCATTTAATAAATGATTTGATAAAAATTTTCAATTTTGATATAAAGCTAAAACATATGAATCTTGAAAATCATTTTTGTTGTTTTATCATTTGTTCATTATCTTAAGAGAGAGAGAGAGAGAGAGAGGAAGAGGGAGAGAGAGAAGGAGGGAGAGAGTGACATCCTCTCTAATTATTAATTACACGTTGTTAATGAATCAATTAGTCGGCTTATTCTTGCAAAAATTTTTAATGTAATTTTGAAGCAAAATCAAATTTGCTCGAAAAAATTAAATACTAAATTGTTAGTAAACCATTTTGTTTTTGTTGCAAAATATTTTACATTAAAAATGATAAATTTCATCGTATTTTTATAAATTCAATTAGTTTAATTTATTTAATTACAGTTCTATTGTTTCTTTATTCGTTGCATTTAAATATAATTTCAGTTAATTTTTCTTTTTGTTTTAGTGTACTTTACTTCAAACTTTAATTAATACTTTAACTTACAAACAATTTACTTTCACAATTTTAAATTGTTTAGCCTTATTTATTTATTTATTAATTTATGCATATAGCATTAGTCTGCTTCATTTCAATTTCGATTCATTTCCTTCTATTATTAGCAACATGAAAAGTTTTCCAATAATTATTATAAAAATNACAATTTTAAATTGTTTAGCCTTATTTATTTATTTATTAATTTATGCATATAGCATTAGTCTGCTTCATTTCAATTTCGATTCATTTCCTTCTATTATTAGCAACATGAAAAGTTTTCCAATAATTATTATAAAAATTTATTCGAACGGGCGTGAAACTAATTTATCACATATTTCCTCTTCATTTCTTATATAAATTCTTACTGTATTTCAGATAATTTTAATTTTCAACTTTCTCCTTCTTTTAAAAAAGAATGTAATTGTTTGATGGATAAAACTTCTGGTAAAGAAGTACGAATAAAATCTCATATTTCATTTTTAGAATTATCATTTATCCGATCCGCATAAATTTCAACGGATTTTCTGACTATTAATAGTGATAGCAATAGTTATATCACTAATAATCCTATCATTTCATACTTATTAAAATTATTCCAAAATGATAAAATGGTTCTTCTTGAGTTGTTTATTTGTAATATAAATTAAACAATGAAAAATTTTTAAAAAACCTGATTTGCAGAAAAAGTTCATTATTAATCTTATTTTCATTTATATGATAATTTAATATTATCCTCGATTAATAAAAAAATTAAGCAAATTTTGAAATGCAATTGTATTTAATCAAATTTTAGGTATGCCTAAAAGGTGTGATAAACAAATAGGAATAGTAAGCAGAAAGAGAGAGAGAGAGGGAGAAAGATTGGAAAAGAAAAAGATTGGAGATACTTTTAGTAAGGGAACTAACTATACGTTATCTTTAAAAAATTTTAAATGGTATAAAATTATTCATCACCATTTTTCTTTTTGTCGTAAAGTGTAATTACCATTCTTATTATCCGTTAAGTAATAAACATTTCACAGTAGCAACTAATCTCTTAAAAGAGATGGAAAGTTTATAAATTATAACATTAATTTAATTTGGATNCATCACCATTTTTCTTTTTGTCGTAAAGTGTAATTACCATTCTTATTATCCGTTAAGTAATAAACATTTCACAGTAGCAACTAATCTCTTAAAAGAGATGGAAAGTTTATAAATTATAACATTAATTAAAACATTAATTAAATTTGAAACTAGCCAATATGCTATACTTTAGAAATTGCAATTTATCAAATTCATATTTGAGTCATCATGAATTCCTACGATGATATAATTTAATGTATGGTTTTTTAAATTCACAATCATCGAATTCACCATTTTAAATTCACCATCGAGAATAATCATTTCAAGAGATTATTCTCGATGACTTTTCAACTTTCATTATTTTTTACAAATGGAATAATTAATTAGTTTTCTTCTAATCTTCAAGAATTTTGAAATGATACGTTATTCTTGATAAGAAGGGATGATATTTACTTATCACTTATCAATCGAAACTTATAAAGTTTATAAAG